AGGCAGCCTGCACTGAAATGAACCCAAGACTGCAAAGTGGCAGCTGCAAAGGCAGAATGGAGTCATTCGCATCTGTTTGGCGAGAAAGGAGGAAATGGTGAAGAGTTCAGCGACAATCGCATAGTTGAAATCTTTCCATCTCTCAGCGCTCCTGTCCTACGAAGGGCAAGGAGCTCTTTAAGGGATCTTTGTGCTGGCCGGCACGTTGGGCGATACTGCAGCCTTTTTCTCCGATAGCATAATCGCGGCTATGTTTTGAGCAGGATAAAGTTGTCCCTGGCCACTTCCCAACCAAGCAAGGACCCCGGCCTGTTGCACCCCCCCTTCCCTTGAAGACCTGACTCCAGCGGGACAGTGTGTACAAATATGGGAAAGCATGTCTAAGTTCAATTTTCTGTGGTTTGCACCACACTGACCCATAAGACTGGTTTGCTAAGCTTCGACGGGGTTGGCTGCTTTGAGGGTGCCAGGCAAACTCAGTCAATGCTCTTTTGTGGCAGCTTCTTTCAGGTGCTTTCTGAAGGGGGCATTGCTGTGTCATGGGATCTTGTCATGGAGATCAGGCCAGCTGGCATGTGGGTTGATCTGCAGTTTTGGCCTCCAAGGGCCACGTTTACCTAGGAGTGCACGGCTGCTATTTGCAACTATAGGGGAAAGTTAAGGCAGATATTCAGAACAGTTCTGACAAGAGGTTAAATTTGGTTTCTGCCCCCTCCCCCCCAACATCTAGAATAGAAAGTCAGTTTTCATTCCTTAAGTAGTCCAGTGTACATCCTGTTTATTTTGTCCCACAGAATTTGGTTTATTGATATTATATCCAGATAGATTTCTTGGCTACGCTGAAATGCGGTAGGATGATAGGAGTCAATAATGTATAGAACCAGATTTGGGGGGGGGGGTTGCAAACATTTCTGTGCATGTTGTCAGATGTTCCTAATTTCTGTGTTGTTTCAGCTCCTGTTTTAGGGCCTATCAAAAGTTTCTATCTTGTCTCCTATGTTCTTCTGTCTACATGAAGTTCCCTGAAAGGATCATTCACAGGTTTGAAGTTGTCATTAAAATGCTGAGTAATACTCAGCTATAGTTTGCTTTTTTGTCAAATCAGGATTAAATAACATCAGGATCTGTATGTCTCCATGCTGTAGCAGGATGGATATGGGAAAACAATCTGAAACTGAACTCTAATAAGATGGAGTTGTTACTGATTCCAGGTAACTAGGTGGCAGGATGGGGTTGCACTGTCCTGCAAGGAACAGGCTTGAGTCCTAGAGCCCGCTTGGATCAGTGCTGACACAAGACAGTCATATTATATGGGTAGAGCCTTTTATCAGCTGACACTTTCATCACCTTCAGTTGATAAAATAGGTACATCCCTACCTGTAGATGAGCAATCTGGCTTCAGTGACCTAAGAGCTGGTAACTTCGAGTCTGGGCTAACTGCAATAGAGGCAGCCTTGGAGACAAGCCAGAAATTGCATAAACATGAGTGATCAATGGGGCCTGTTTGGAGTTCAGCCTTATTCTTGGGTTAAAATAATTTAACTGGTGTCTTCTGAGTCCAAGCCAATTGACGGTGGAGGAAGCTTAGGCAGCAGCTCTTTACAAATCTGCATATTCCCATATAATCCATCCTATATTCCTAGGCCAACAAAGCGAATTCAGCTTTCTCTATGACAGGGCCCATATTACGAAATAAACTGCCATTGAAGCAAGCCTCCTGGTTTAGGAAGGGGCTCAAAATATATTTATTAGGCATTTTAATGTTCCTGTTTTAGCAGCACATAACATTTCTAAATAAATTGACAGGATGCTGTCCAAGTCTTTTTAGCAACTATTTCCTAATATGCATGTAAGTAGATATATTTTGTGTATTCATGTAGCTGAGCAAATGTAAAAAACAAATGCAGCTGAATAGCTTTGAAACAAATTCCTAACGAAGGCACTGGCACGATCTCTTACCACCAGAGGGCACTAGGCCAAACCTATGCAGCAAGTATTTGCATCCTTCGCACTAAAATAGAAAAGTGGTTTTGGATTTAGAAGAATTCAGCTTAAAGTGCTGCTCAAAGCAAGCAAGCTGCAAAACCAGCACAATTAAAGAGCTCGCTGGGAGATCCAAGTTGGTACATCAGTTGAAAATTGCTCTGTTCTTTTTAACCAGGGGAGGATATTATTTCTGATTTCTTAGTTATACAGCGGAACAGACCAGAAAGTTGTTGCTTGTCAAAAGGAGCTGTACACCAGCCACCATGGCCCCCTTTCCTGTCTTCCCCCCTTTCCTGTCACTGCATGCTGGGGAATGATAAACAACCAAGTTGGAAACAACTGTAAATTCTTCAGTGGTCGTTTAAACACAGTGCATGCCAGTCCTCACCTCTAAATGACGAAAGGTGGTTGAATTAATGAGGAAATCCAGCCCATGCCCATAGTCCAAAAGCACCCACTAATTTCACTGATTCACTCACATCATAACGATGCCAGATTGTTACTCTATCAGTTCTCAACCAGGACTACTGCTGTTTTACAGCATTGGATCCTTCACCATCCCAACAACTTAGAAAGAATCTTGAAACATTTGGTTCCCACAGTAGTCAACCATATGACCGCAGGAAGTACACAAGCAGGATATGAACAAAACAGCACCCTCTTCTTGCATTCCCTAACAACTGGCATCAAAAAGGCTTCTGAGTTAGAGCTATTGGAATAAGCCACTGCGGCAGGAAGCCATGATCATTTTAGCTTCATGAGCCATGACTATGAGTGGTTTCATTACTTACAGTGCAAAAAAAAAAAAGCTTTCTTTTACCAAACCTGACATCTCCTGCCATTCAGCTTTATGGGAAAACCTGCACAGGATCTTTCTCTGTCACACAAAAACAATGAAATTGGCTCCAATACTAAAGAGAATATACGTTGCTAGAGCTTCTATTCCATTGCTTTTTTAAAATCTACACCCAAGGGCAAACTAATCTGGGGATTCTCTACTTCCAAAGCTCCAGGTTTTCTGCAAATGGAAATTAAGGAGAGACTGGACCTTATCCCATTCTGCCTTCTCTGCCATTGCTAAATCTGGGGAGTAAAGCTGGCACAAGCCCTCATATGGTTCCCTTAATGTTATTTCTGACATTTTAAGAGACTCCTGTATGCATACACACACACACACACACACACACACACACACAAACAGCTGCTATGGGAGGCTTGCCCATTCACAGAATGCAGTCATTGGGTATAGCCTGTCACAAAATCTTTTTGGGGTAGCAACTGGTTTATTTGGTGCCTTCAAGTCAGTGTTGACTCTTGGCAACTGTCCGGACTAGTCCCTGCAGTTTTCTTGGCAAGGTTTTTCAGAAAGGGTTTGCCCTTGCCTCCTTCCTGGGGCTGAAAGAGAGTGGCTGGCCCAAGGTCACCCAACTGGCTTTGTGCCTAAGGTGGGGCTAGAACTCACAAACTCCTGGTTTCTAGTCTGATGCCTTTACCACTACATCAAACTGGCTCTGGTTAGGCTAAAAAAATACGTTATCTAACAACTTCAGTAAAAGAGAGCTGGAGAGACAGAATCTCAAATGCCCATTCATTTGCCTGTGCCCTTCAACCACCAAAATACCTACTAGAAGCCATATGGATGATTGTCAGAGAAACCGTGTTGACTCTACCGTATCTAATACTGTATGCAAACATATATACCACTAAAACCTCCTCCCCAGTGCATCCTGGGGAAAATATATTGCACATACAAGCAAAACCTATGCAAAATTCCAGATGAAAACAAGCCACTTCACATATACAATACATTGCGCAAATCTGTGGCACACACTGCTTGTTGGGAATCAAACAACAGAAGCTGTAGGTATCTTTAACTGCTTGTACTTTCAACCACAAAGGATGGAGTTACCAGATAACAAAGGCAGGAGTAAGGACTGAATTGTACAGAAGCCATACAGATACATCCATATACCATTTTTAGAATAGACTCGACCACATTGTAAAACCAACTGGTATTTTGCAGTTGCTAAGTTTTTGATACTAAACATATTATATTTGTAACTACTAACAACAGCCATAGGATTCAAGGTTAAAAACCAAAATAAACTGCTTTCCCTCTTTGTGTTTTCTCATGGTTATTTATTTGAATAGTACTGTTAGCTATAAATAATTGATTTCTATAGTCCAGAACTGTACTTCATAAATTATACTAGCAGGAAAAAAAATCAAATTAATGCTGTATTCTTTGTTATAATTCTATTAAATTACTGTTTTAAAACAACCGGCCCTTATTTAACATCATTTGGGTCACTTGACTGACTTTTAAAACCAACTTGTGTATTTAATAGACAGGAACATACAGTGGTGGGAGGATGCAAGTAATCCCTCCCTGCAATAAAAGTCCAACAGGGCAAATCCTAAACATTTCTGCTTCTGAAGTGAAAAATCCCCCAATGCTTTTCCTCTTTTGGATCATGAGTTACTTTGTAAAGTTCATACAGAAGAAAAAAAGGATGAAATGGTACGTCTGAGAGATTATCTGCTCAAAGCAACTTCATCAGGGCGAGACAAGCTTTGAGAGTCACCTGTGGAGGGGGGGGGGAGTCAGAACCAGACCGGGGAGCACTCCAGGGGATGATGGGCATTGGGGCACCTCAGCACCACAGTGAGCAGTGTTTCCAGTTCAAATTCTGGTACCCATAAGGAGCAGGGCCAGCCTCTCATTCAGATATTGACATGGATGTTTCCCTCTTCATTACCAATCAGATGAGAAGCTTTTACGCTAGGGAGGAGTTTAGCCCTTTGGATCTTGCTTAAAGGAAGTGAATAATGCTCCTGGGTCAGTCCCTTCCGAGGCAAATGGATCCACTGAAACACCCACCTGCTGGAAGTGTGGGTGCCTTGAGGATTTCAGAAGTAACACAACAGTTTTGCCTTGATTATTCCTGCCATGTCCTTTTTACCAGTCTTTTTTCTCCTTCTAAAACAAAGTTATTTTTTAAAAGATGTGCGTTCCTCATGGTGATTGCTTTGCAAACCATGTTTCATCCAACTGAAGAAAGGTAGGACCCACAATAGTGATTTCAACAAAGTCGGAGTTATTTAAAAAGCCATTCTCCCTCCCTCTCCCCCAGAAACCTCGTTATGCAGCTCTCTGGGGAACAGACAAAGAGCTCACACTACGAGCTGCTACCTCTCGGATCCCAACCTCTGCCACAGAAAGACCACTGTTCGCCTTCTGTAGTCCACCTCCAGGCCACTTTGTCTTCCAGGCGGCCCAGCAGGAAGCAGCAGAGCAGCCCCTTTCGTTCCCATGAGGTTCTCAGTTCACCACCAGCACATTCTCCTGCAGGGGGCTTCTGCGAGTGAAACAAGACAACCATTAAACTCGGTCCCCTCCCACAGCACTAGCTGTTTGCCCTCCAGGGCTCTGAGGTGGACCAGGGCATGGCTGGAGGGGTCTTTCTTTGGATGCTGGGTCTGGCTGGAGTAAACAAATAAATTACCCAGGCCTAAGTGGGCAGGAACAAAGGCAGGCACGGGACTCATCTTGCAGACCTACCGTTCACAGCAGCAGAAGATAGAACACGAGGAGGTGTTTTCCTTGCGGAACATGCCAGATTTGGGGCTATCTTGGCATTCGGCTATGTAGGCGTGGAGCTGAGTGACAGATGCGTCCCCCTCACACTGATGCTGAAAGAGAAACAAGTGATTGCCATTGTCACTGGGGTGGCTGAGCTGTGGCTGTGTCAGTCTTGTGAGGTAGTCCAGACAAGCAGCATACCCAGGAGTACAAGCTCTAGCTTTATTGTAAGATTACATTAACATTAACAGAATCTTGCAAGTCCAAAAGTACATCTTTCCCCCCTTGCCTTTACACGTGAAGAAACTAGGGAGGGCCCCTTCTGAGACGTTTGTCACGCCTCATTGCTTCTGCGGGTTCACATGCCTCTTATCTGACCATTGCCTAGTCTGCGGTTCTTCCTCCTGTCTCCCAGGGTCATGCTCATATACCATTACAGGCTGCTAGTCTAATAAACGCCCTCTCTCTTGTTAAGTTAGTAAGATTGGAAAAGGAATAAAACTTCTCTGCTGCAATTCACATAATATTTGTGAAAAAGAAGCCTACAAGACTGCATCCCAGAATGCAGAGCAAAGCTGCTTGACTCCAGCTCTGTATAGAGGACGGGCAACTTCTAACAAGACCAACCTTGATGGTCTCATAGGACCCAGTGATGAGAGCAATGAAGAGGCTGAGCACCATGTAGATGAAAAGGCTGATGAAGGTGTACAGGTACAGTTGGCTGAAAAGTCACACCAAGTAGCTGCTCTGCTGCATGCTGGCAAACGTCACAAACATGTCGTCCCCATTGATGAGGGAGAAAAGGCACTCGGACACCATTGAGAGGGTGCGGAACTGAAACAAAAAGAACAGACGAAGAACTTAGCAGATATCCAAAATCTGAACTCCAGTCCAGCAAGAGCAAAACCAGCATACAAAAGGATTGTCTGCAATAGTGACATTCCACTGGCAGAATGACATCTGCCAGCAAAAAGGTGGTTCCTCCTCTTTCTACTCCCATGCAACTCCCACACTGCTCTGGGAAACACAGAGGAATGCACAGGCAATTAGAGACCCACCCATAGCTCAAAGGCTTCAGAATCTCTGGTCCGTTTGCTGCTTAAGTCTTTAAAATAAAAGCAATCACATCCTCCTCTAAGGAAGATACATGCCATTGCTTGGTTTGCATTACAGCAGCACTTCCATCAGTGATTCACTTCTGCCCCTTCTGTTCCATGCCTGGCGTCTCCTCCTACCTTGACGTGATAGGGTCCCAGGACTATCCATCCACAGAAGCAGTAGCCCAGGTAGATCACCACCACACAGCAGCAGAAGCGGATGACATTGGGAAAGGCAACCCTCATGGTAACAATGAGAATCTAGAAGCCATGAAGAAAAGGCAGTCTGAGATTAGGCTCTGGAACCTTTAATCAAGCCAGTTGTGACCCAAACTGAGGCTGTAACAGCCCTGGAAACATGGTTGAGGCAGGACCTGATCCTAGAAGCAGGTTTTATACTTTGAGGAGCCCAGCTTTAGTTTTTTTAAAAAAGGAACTCAAGGACTTGCTTCTAATACAGGAGCTGATCCTTTCTTTTGCCACTACTAACCTTGGGGATGCACAGGAAAAAAAGAAAAAAATATGTCCCACTTACATTGTATTTTTGAAAGAAACTCAGGTAGCACATGACCCCGACCCAGACCAAGAGTGTGGAAGTGCCCAGAAGGATGCCGCAGACATCATAGTTGGCAAAGTTCTGCAAGCAAAGAATGCCTTATGCAGGGCTACTCTATGAGTAGGGATTGGAGCAGGCAAACTCTGGGTTACAGCCCCAAATCTGAGATGTTCCCAAGCATTTAAGGCCATAACCTGCTTGGAGAGTTCCTTACCTTGGACTCTATCCCAATTTTCATTATGGTTCCAGACACCGTAAGGATGTCGCTCACCACTAGCAAAATGTACCATCCATTCACAAATTCCATACGGTCAGAGAGACAGATATTTTGATTGTAGTGGCACTGAAAGAACTGGCTGAACTCCTGTACAACAAAAAGAGCCACTATGAACAAGTAGCCTATCCTCAAACACAAACCCTGCCAGCCTGTGACTCTGCTTTTCTCCACTGCTCTATCTCTTTCCCTGCATCAAGGCAGGAGTACAATTAAGTTTAGAAGATGATCAGCTTAACCTTGAAGAGTTGGGAGGCGCCAAATTATTCATACCCCTTAAGCCAGGACCAGGAGAGAGCCAGTATCCTCATTTGTTCGAAGAATTTGTTTTCAAACACCACCATGCCCTAACTTCTAGTCACTCAGCAACACTCAGCAAAAAAAAGGTCAAGCAAAAACAGCCCTAGGAGATAAAGATGACAGGGAAAACTCAGTGTTGAAGAAAGGGGTGTACAAAACAAGCTGTTCCAGCTTCACTGGAAGTGTTCCAACACTGGTCTGGCCTCACAAGAAACCTTTGAGCCTGAAGCATTTCACATTTAAAATGTTTTGCACATTTTTAGTGCAGAATAAAAGCAGCTGACTTATTCTTCTACTACGTTCTTCTACTTCTATTTTAACATCTGCAAACTCTGGGCATTACATAAGTGGACTGCCATAGCAAGAAAACCTGCAGTAACTTTAGCATCTGTTCCACAGAGCGTTTCTTACAATGTTCTTGGCTAATATGTCTGGGCAAACCTTTGTTTTTCCCCTTTTAAACTCTTTTTCCTCTTTTGCAAATAACCACTCCTTTCTAAATAAGCCATGTTCATTTGTGGCTAGGTCTGTTGGTCAGAAAAGTGTAGGGTGACTTTTCAAGGTAATCTTCAAATTCTATTTCTGCATATCAAAAATTACCAGTAAGAGTGGAGGAAGAAGA